GATATATCCGATAATGAATGCCGACGTAGTTTGCGAGCGGCAGTGTCATCCGCGAGCGGAAACGCAGAACAAAGTACAATATGTTCCCGCTGGCCAAACAAGAACGGCGCAAGTGCATGACACATCATTGCAACAGCCTGAATGAACGAGAGCTCGCATGTACGTCGACGTGCATTCCGAACTCCAGCGGAATGTCACTCCCTCGTCGGGTCGAATTGAAATGCATGCACTCGTCCTACTTGTTTTTCCGCGTTAAAACAAAGGAATTGCCGCTTGCCGCTTCCATGTTTTGTCCATTCAACCGAGTGAAAAAAAAAAAAAAAAGAGCACGACCTATTTCCAAAACTGCCGTCGTTCGGCTCGAAATGCACCGTTCTTTCGCCGTCGAGGGCCGAAATGCTTCAAAATTGCGAAATAAGCGTCTCCAAATTTATTTATTTCCATCGAGGTATTTAATATCAGGAACTTTCAGAATTATCCGCGGTAGAGCAATGAAAACTTTGCGTGAATATAATTACCAATCGGGCGAATCTTGGAATTCTTTTTTGGAGTAAACCTCGCAAAAATCATACTCTACCTTAAACGATTACTCGGGCGGAGACATTTGAACGGAAATCTTGGGAGTTACTATCGCGAGTCCCTCTTCGATGGACACGTGGCTATCTATCATTTTTACAAAGAGGAAAACGAAACATTTTCCTCGCAGGATTTAAGCAGACTCGTTTGCCATTCTTTTTGGCGAAAGAGGTGCATCGTGCCCCGTCGACCTGCAAGTGCATTTCCCTCGGTGCAGGGGTTGCAGTGCATCCGCGTTTTGCCTTTTGATTCCGCCGCTCTTTCCCTTGCCCGATGCAAATTCCCTCTTTCCCTGTTTTCGCCGGCAGATCTCGGTGCACGCGCTGTGCAAAGTTGCACTCGGCACGGAAATCGATACGTAATTAACCGGCGCCACCTCTGGACGAGCGAAAGTGCGTTCGCTCGAAATTAGCTCTCTCTAGGGCCGTACCGAGCGATATTGCGCGTACTCGCGTCTGACGGGACGTTACCCTGCCATTACGACGGACGTTTAAGCCCTGCCCTGGATACTTCATCGCGAAATTAGCGGGTGCAACTTACATTAATTGCCCTCGGTGCGCACTCGGATACTCCTGTAAACCCCGTGAAAATCCCTTTCTCCAGGAATTACACCCTGGAGGGCGGGTTCGTCGAGGAGGAAGGACCTCGATCATCCCTTCGTAGAGGGTCGAAGTTTACGAATTCATAAATCTAGTTTCCCATTTCCCAATCTTGGATTTGTCGTTTGTATTACCAAACGCGGAATGATTCCGATTTTACCGCGCAGGAAAGATATACAGTAATAATGCTTTAATTAAACGAAAGTACCCCGGGGTGAAGTTCCACTATAATTACTTATATGACGCGTCCCTTTTGATGGGATTATCACGTGGGGATCTCCTATAGGAAGAGACGTGGGATACGGTGACGATTTTTGGAAGTCCTGTCTCTTTCTTTTTAGACGGTGTTTAAGAGACTTTAACGATAAAGTGCACTGTAAAAATATATTGCAATTTTGTGACACTTTCGTTTCGAGTTCAATTCAGACATGGTATATTAATTTTATAAATTTATAACATACGTTTATAAAATCCGTAATTTTTTTCAAGCACAGAATTTGCTGGGCTAACATCACGCATTTAGCGTTAAAACTTTTTTTTATACATAGCTTTCAAATTGGTAAAATACATTTTTTAACGAAGAATCGATTCAGAAGTATGGATTGCCTCGAGTTAATTCGATGATTGGATGCTTTTGAACGAAGCGATTATATTAGATTGGCGAGTCTAATTGCAAGTGGAGGAGGGAATTGCATTGTTAATTAAATTGCCACGAAAAAGCTGCCAACTCGTCAGGGTGAGCGGACTTTTTTCGTAACTGGTTGGATTAATGCGAGAAGCCTCGGAAATCCGCGATCTGGCCGATGTCTCGCGAAACGACGAGCTCGCTTCGTCAATAAAGCAAACCCAATCCCGCCGCTAATTTGCTCGGTTAATTCCGTGGACGAAGGGAAGGGTATGGAAACGGTCGGTGCGCCGTTTCGTGGGAATAAAAATGAGAGTGAATCAGGTTCTTCACCCAGCGCCGGATTTTACATCCGTATCGTTAAAAATGTCTGCCTGACATATAGTCAAATTTCAAGCAGCCCGAGAGAATTGAAATAATTTAAATTGCGTGTCTCGATATTAAATGTACCAATCGATTTCGTTCACAGTTCAAAAATGGCCTGGTTAAAGTTGACATTAGTCATTCAAGAGGTTCTTGTACTATTTCTCACGTAAATATGGTGTTTGTTGAGACGTACCTTACATCTGAATTGAAGTCTTCGGAATATTGAATAATTTTTCACGGTGGGCAAATTTGCCGACCTTTTTTAGGAAGTTTCAATATTTTTTAGAATTATGACCGACTTTAGATTTTCGTGAAGTCACGTGTACTTGTACTGTCCCTGGACTTTACAATGATACCGTTATCGCGGTAACAGCTGCAGTTGACATTAAAGGGTGGAATTTTCATTTTAAGCGGCCGAGCAAACAATCGATCCCAATTTCGCCTTCAATTTCGCCGGCCCCTTTATCTTCCAAGAAGATAACCACCGGATCGATCGAATCGCCAAAAGAAGAGAAACGGAGGAATCAATTGAATCGAATATTGAAATCGATTTCGCGGATCTCAGGACTCGATTCAACGATCTCCAATCTTTTCCACCAGGTCCTTTTTTTTCATTAATTAATGCATTAATACCTTTAGCAAAAAGGACGTACATCATCTTCATGGGTTACGCTCTTTCAGGACAAAGCCTGGAACTTCTTCCTTTCTTCAAAGAGAAAGATAACTGGCATAGTTTAAATTCTTTCCATTTATTTTGACGTTTGGTTCGACATATCTTAATTTAATGGCAAGCAAAATTGAAACGAGACCTCGTCGACGCCATTTTCACATCCCCTTAAGGCGGGCAAATCGTGACTTTTAGGGCATCGATTTATTAATAAATCATAGATAATGCACAAATACACGAAATAATGCATTAACGAATCATAAATATCGTGGCCATTATCATGTATATTTTTTATTCAATTTAAAGGAACCTCACGATTTCGTATGCCTCTATGACAATTAGTCAAGGGGATTTTATATCCTTCCTCGTTTCGATCCGGGGATGAAGCTTCTCCGGCAGGGAAAGCGGGGCTCGACGAGTGGTTAGTTTCGAGGTGCGATCATTCTTTGGTAATACCTATTTAATCAAGGAGGCCTTAAGGCGTGCAACAGGGGTGACTGTAAGAGACGGCTCTCGCCCGTAAACGGGGTGGCTTTCCGAGAGACTCGCCGAGGAGGCGCTGGGCGAGAAGGGGGCCTTAATTTCCTGTAGCACTGGGGCTTATCTCTTACGATTTACCGACTGCCAAGAAAGTTCCCCGCCAACTTGGCCGGCCCTCTCTCTCTCTCTCGAGTACTTAACAATAGACGAATTCGAGCAAACTTTCGCGCCTCCTGGCCATGGTCGTCCGTAGTCGGTTTCGAGCGACGACTTCACTCGAGTCCTTCCTGTCCCAGGATCCTCTTCCTTTCAACACCTTGACTTTTGTCCCTTCGCCGAAATTAACTTCCTCCGATATTGTGGGTTATCGAGATCCGAGGCGACTATTTTTCTTAACGATGCATGGGAATTCAATTGGGAATGATTCTTTGTTTCATAATTTCTTTTTTAATTCGCGTAAGCTCTTTTACAAGTCGATGGGGCGCCAAGGGTAATCCATGCTTCTTATTTTTGACGGGAAATTTTTCCGGTAATTTTGTATCGTTTATTTATTAAAATTGCCGACAATTTGTACATGCCATGTACATACAATGTTCATTTTTGTTCATACAATGTTCATTTTTGTTCATACAATGTTCATTTTTGTTCATACAATGTTCATCTGTACATACAATGTTCGGTTCCTCGGAAATGACTTCGAAACGAAATAATGTTCCAGACTGGGAGGAAATGCGAGCGGCAACTCCGTGCGATACGATTTCGCCCGAAGCCTCGACACCGCGTTTCGGTATTGTCATTCCGCTTCCTCTGTATCCTCTCTTTCCATGTGACATGTCCAATCGGAGCGAATCGTAGATGGCCACTTATGGCCGAGGCACTCCCTCTTAATTTCCGGCGGCAAACTCGCCGAATTCCGGCCCCGGCTATTTCCTCTGACACTTCCTTGATTTAAATTTCGAGAGAGGATCGCTTTTCCATTTCTCGTTTGTTTATGCTTTAGGGTGAGATGAAAGGCGCTGAGAAATTTATTCGACTTATGTAAAATTAAATATTCACCTGTACCCTTTTTCGTGGCAACGCCATTTTTTAACACTCAAGTGACAACATAAGCTGGCTCATGTTATCAACATTGATATTTACGTTGAAATCTGTTAACCTCCACGTTTTGAGTAGTACCACGTAACCTCCAAGTTTCAATGTAGTACCATGCAGCTGTTGTATAAATATAAATGTCGCTAGCTGTTTCAAATGGTACACGAGTTAAAAAAATCTTCTTTACCGAAGTCGATTAAATTTCTCCTCGTATTTCGCTGCACATCTTTGCGGGTAATCTCTTCCCGTCCAGACATCGATTGTTCCATGTTTTACTCTTCTTAAGCAGCATCGGCAATTTTCCTACGAAGCCGAAGAAAATAAAAACAATTAACAGACACGCGGACGGTTAAATAGGAGATGAATGCACGTGCTCGAGGAACAATCGGAGAGATCCTAAATGATCTTGACGTATATGCGAGAATCTTTCCTCCCATTTCGATTTTCAATCTCGGATCTGCGCGACAATACCCGAAGTACTCGAGTGCCGCGCTATTTCGTAGCAATCGTGGACGTTATTATGCACTTTTTCTTTATTCTCTGGGAAATTGTCAGGCGAGGAGATTAAACCCTTAACGGAATTTCTCTTTTCCAGATTCGAGACTGGCTTACGGTCGAAGAAGAGATGCTGCGACAACAGGCAGTCGTCGTCGGCGACGTCGAGGAAATCATCCATCTCCTCGACAAGCAGAAGGTGAGTCTCAGTCTTGACGAGATCGTTTTACTTTTCACGTGGAAATTATATCAGGCTGAGGAATCAGTTCCCGATGTTTTAATTACGGTGCGTTACATTAACAACGGCGGGAACTTATTCCTCAACTTAATATTTCCACCATGGCGAGCTTACTTTTGACATGCCAATTTTATATACGATATAGCAGTTTTGCCTTGACGCAGCCGTTTTATTTTTGATACGATAGTTTAATCTGGACACGGCAAATTTATTTTCAATGTGGCTGTGTAGTCTTGAGATGGCAATTTTATTTTTAACGTGGCAAGTTAGTCCCTACGTGAGATTTTTTTCTGGACACGGGTATTTAGCCTCGACCTGGTAGTTTTATTTCTGATCCCGCAGTTTCAGTTTTAACGAGGATTAAATCGCGTACCTGTTGGTCCCATTCTTTGCGACGATTCCCCGGGAACGACTGGCGAAGTCAACAAAACGGGTGTTTGTCCCGGAGTGGCGATTACGAAAGTTTCTACGAGTTCTCGTTCGGCTACGTGCGCAAATACTCTGTCTAAATACTCCACAAAATGTCGCGCTTTGATGCTCGGCTCACGTTTCTCTGCGAGCAAGTTTCTCGCCCCCCGCGAAATTACAACCAAATCCGGACCTGCACGTCCCTCATAAATTCGGCTCTTATGCAAACACGGAGACGAAACGAATGAGTTTGACTCGTCAAATGTACGTCCCAGCTCCCGGGAAAAGGACCAAAGTGTACAATATGGCGATCGAATATGAGATTTTAATTTACAGGATGATGCCCTTTTTTTTTTTTCTTTCTCGACGTACCTCGACTCCGTTTTTTATTACCTGGTTACCTGTTATTTAATTTTTATTTCTTATCTGAAAACTCAATCAGCGACCGTGGCCGTGGTTTGGCGAAGCTGAAATTAAAACATTTTGACGTTTCGTACATATAGGACGACCCTTTCACATCATGTTAATAACACGTAATAATTCTCTTTAACTTGAAATTTTCACTTCCGCGTTCACCCTTCACATGCAGCGATGTCATTTTTTTTTGTATAAAAATTGAAATTATTCGAGCTTCGCGTTACCTCGTACATTTCGATGTTTTTTTTTACATCTGGTGATAAATTACCAGATACACGATAAAGGGGTAAAGAAGGGTAACAACCCGAAGCCCGACTGGGGCACCTTACCCTCCGGTTTCTTCATGTGAAGCCGCCGGTAAAACTTTTCCCTGCTTTGCCGACAGGGTTCCTGGTCGGGGTTTAACCCCCTTCCGGTACTCTTTCGGTACTCGCAACTGCGAGGGTAAATCGATATCCACCCTTAGCTCTGACTACCCTTGACTTTGTCTACCGTCGACAAGTGATTCGGATCTCCTCAAGGGTGGGATCCGTCAAGGGGTTGTACCAACCGAAGTTTCGCGATGGGGAAGGTCGGGAGCACCCTCGCGCCCCAGAAGGGGTGCGCTTTAGTACCGCCCGGGGATGCTCTGACATTGACATTGGCATTAAGCGGTCAGTGGCCTCTGCCACACCTTTTTCCCCGTTTCCACGTTTTCCCGATTTTTCTTACACCACCGAAATCCGTCCTCTTTCGGACACGTGTTATCGCGTCACATTATAAACTACATCCTTAAAAATATTCAGTAAATACATACAGGCATGAAATGGAATGGAACATACGCGAATGGAAATTGCGTAAATTAAGTCTGTGATTTGACCACTTAACTGGATATTAGTACGCATTTATTATAGACTTCTTAATAAATTAATAATTTTTAAACATCAGGTTATTACCGTAGTAGCACACAATAATTTCTACGAATTGAGACACGATTGTGGATTTCTCCTTTCATATTTTCCGTATTAAACAGTGACGTGAATGACGCGTGAATTAAATATTTAATAAATGTCAGTGGGCTCATCCTCGTGCTATAAGAAATTAATATCGCGGGGTTGCGTGAATTGACCAACTCCACCTGGTTTAACCTGGATTACCTATCAGCCGCGATAAAAATCTGTTTCCAAAGGTGAAGGTCGGAAACACTCCGAGGTAGAGTTTCCACTTTAATGTTAACATTAGAATTGACATTAAGCCACATCGTTAACAGTCCCTCCCTCTTTCGATCCTCCTCTCGTCCTTCGATTTTCCAAGAATATCTGACCCGAGATTCCCGGTGACATTAATTCAACCACCGGCATTTACCTTGCAAAACTTCACATCAGAATCCGCAATTCTACTAAGACGCTAAATTTCGATGAATTTTAAAGTCTGCACCAACCCCTCAGCTAGCGTATCAAGGACCCTCAAGATGAAGTCCAACTCCCCGAGAAACTTAATTGTTATCGGCGAAAACAAGACCACCAGTTCCCATAAATTCTGAAAATTCTCTGCAGCGACCTTAGAACGTAGTTAAATATACTCCGAAAGTTTCGATCTAACGAAACGTGTAGCTCCTTTTTTTCTTTTTTTTTTTTTCTTAAATCCCCAAACATCACTTTACTTTTCGTCCATCGACATTGAACCCCTTAAGAATCACCCGTTCCCGTAGATTCTCAGAGTTCCCAGAGCAAAGGGCAGCGACCGGGTACCTTTGATTCGGAAAGAAAGGTAAAATAAGAAAATGTCCGTCCCGTCTCGTTAAACGAGAGGGAACATCTCCTCGGCCGACTCCAAGGAGCGAACCTTTATTCCTCCGCTATCGATCTCCCTCCCCCGCAGCTCGGGGCATTCGAAAGCGAGTCATAATCCTTTTACGGGGTGGAATCTTTATTAAGCCGCGATCGAGGGGCGGCGGTCCATTACCTAGTTTAAAACGCCTCCCATTGGGATTCCCACGGCGGGTGATCTCGTTTGATCATTTGAGCGATGCCCGGGACTTCTTTGATAGCGCCGCTCGGGGCGGCTGATAGGAAGTTATCTCCGGGGCCGGTGCACTCTCTCCCAGCTATTCTCGGTATCGATTTTGCGCCTCGGGAGACGACGGGGTTCGGTACGAGTCGGGGGTACGGTGCCATTTCGTCGGGAGGGGTGCACCTCGAAGAGGAACCGAAGAGGCACCGAAGGAGGGAGTCGTCCCTCTCTTCAGACGGCATTGCATTAATGCGATAATGCAGGTATGCATATGCATCCCCGCGACTCGAGCCCCTCCTTTGGGGCGCTTAGGTGGCGCCTCGTTGCATTTAACGGTCGTTAGTGTAACACCGCGATCCGTAAACGGGCGTTGCGCGGACATGGTGGGCGGTTTGGGGGAGGTCTTCTTGAAGCGGAACTTCTTATGCACGGAGGGAAAAAAAAAGATTCGTTAAACTTACATGAAAATCTGTAAGATGTACAGACTTCCTCCGTTGAAATTAGGACGGTAGATTATTTCGGTTAGCGTTAAGGTAACGCTTCTGTTACTCAAATCCGTAATAATTGCGGATAAATATCTATAACGACTACGTATAAGTATTTGAAAGGAATCCGTAAAGTCTGCAGATATTTTTCATTGCACCTTGAAATTTTGTAATACTTTAAATGTACCAGTTTCAGAACTATTAATTTTAACAGGCATCTTCATTTATTTAATCGAGGGTAAATTTGTACTCTTTCTGTTTTTTTTTTTTAATTCCACAACTTAATTATCATCCCTTTATACGATGGCCTCTCATTTCGCGACTCCCACCCTTTGCCGACATCGATCTCTCGAAAGTACCCCCGGGCTCTGGTCCGTGAATTCGTTCTCCCAGGGGGAGGCAAGCCCGGGATTTTACATCCCCGCAAACAAAGGGACGCATTTCGGCGAACAACTCCGTCACCGCGCAAAGAGGTAAGACCTACGAGTACCGAGGATAATTGGCCTGCCGACGATTTACGGGCGCACCGACTTCGCGGCTCGGGTGTTATCCCTTAAGTTTTTAAGCAGCCCCACTATTGCCATTTCCTTCCGGCCATTATTCTTCCCCCCGTTTCCTGAAACGAGGAAAAAAGGGCAGACCGCAAGGGACACGAAAAACCTGGCCCAGTCGAGCTCGATAGCACTTATCACGAATCAACGTTTTACTCGTATTTCCCAAGAGTCGCACTATAAAAAAGACGAACCACTTTTATTTCCCTTTATTTTTTTTTTTAAGGTGAAGCGAATCATTCGGCTTCGATAAGACACTTTTTCCGAAGGGTGTTGCACCGAACTGCCTTAGTACCATGTCTCTACTCTCCGTGCCCGTTGCGACCGGCCAGGCTTAAACAATTCGATCTTATATAAATCGACTAAGTTTCTCCGCGGATCTCCCTTAATATGGAATTTGAGGTATTTATTAAAAAAGAAATGAGAAATTTGAAGAGAAAAAAATCGTAAAAAAGGACAGAGGCAGGCGTTGTTCGGGGCAGGCCGGGCGGATATCGGGAGCCATATCGGTTGCCCCGGTGTTACCGAGTGGCATTATTAAAAGAGCTGGGGCAGACAACGATGTGATTAAAGCTGCTCGAAAACAAAGGAGGTTGTTACCGCGGTGTTGCTATTGATTTCCGATTGGGAGCGAGGGTAGCACCGCGGAGAGACAGAGAGACAGGAGATTGGGCTCGCCGAGAAACGCTGGTCTTCGTATTCGGCCTTTTCCGGGAGGTAAGCCGGCGTATGTACCTGTACATACATGTTCCTACGTACAGGACACATGGGAGCGGGTCTCCGCATCCTTGCATCCCTGCGTCCCTGCAACCCTGCATCTCTACATCTCTACATCTCTGCGTCCCTTCGCCCGCGTGGACCAGCGCTCGCGCCTCCACCCCGGCCGGAGCTCTATGTACATGTACTTTCTGCGTACGTAACTTCTGGCCCAATTTAAGCACTGGAAAAGGTAACTCGGAAAACGGGACAGATGTCGCGCTCGTAAAACCGAGCCGAATTATGAGCCTCCCTCTTAACCCCTGTCTCGTTACACCCTCTGCACCGGCTGGAAAAGCTCGCCCCGGAGAGAGAACGAGAGTCGGGAAGAATTTTTAAATTTCATACCCAC